CGTCACGAAAAGTCAAGAGCCCAGCATGGAGTACACGCGTGTTAGTGTCTTCACCGAAGCGCCCACCGACTTCCCGCCTAGTCTTCTAACAGTTCCTTCCACGTCCACCTCTTCCACCTCCTCATCTTCCTCTTCACTGACAATTCCATCACCCCCCAGCCCGTACGCGGAACCCAAAGTGGTAACTTGATTAATGTTAAACTAACCTGAGTGTCATTTTGTTGCTGTTGATTGCGTTTCGTTATCGTGCTTTAAATCATAACGTTTACTATAGCTAGCACAAAGAGACCTTTTGTGATGATTCCTCTTTCCGTATCGATCTTTACCTTTGTTTACGAAACTTAGACCATTTTGTCCCTCAGACCACCTTGCAGATTCTTGCATGTACGTTAATCGGTTCTATTGGTTCAATTTATAAAATGATGTTTATCTTTTGGGAGCTGTCTGAATTGTCAACCGCCTTTCTGCAAATAAAATGCTTTCAAGATTGCTGTTTTACCCTTTCTTTGACTTGACAGTTATGGCTAGTTGAAGTTCTCTGATCAAGCTACGAATGTTACAGTTCTCGGAAACTGGACTCCTGCACTCCACTTATATTTGATGTGGTGCTGTAACTGAAAACATAAACACTTAGAGCCACAACTCAAATGATATTTTCAGGTAAAGTTTGTCCTCCATCGGGGGGAGGGGCGGTGGGTTACAATGATGGTAACTGTTGGTCAGTACTAGAGAGCTTGGAACACCGTTACAACAGGATGTTATCCTGACCACCTAGCGCTCTGCATATAAGGTTGTGTGTATTGTTGGCTCCCCCCATGTATGGTAGATGTGCTACATCATGGAGTTTTAAACAACCTTAACTTTCTTTAGGATAAGATAATAGTACTTAGGTGGGTGTGTAATATTTATTATCATTCGGCATAATCCCAAGATAATTTAGTCACGTCGAATGTGTGTTGAAAGGCTATCTTTCAGTTTTACACCTTTTTATTATAAGGGAGTTTTCTATCTACTTATTGATGCTGCTCGTAGTTTTTAGAACTTGCGTTGCTTTGACGCTGTGATTCAAAACATAACCAGTTGCAGCCACGAAAGTTTACCCTTAACAAATCAGACGAGAATCTCGAGTACAATTTGACATACATCGGAGGAAGGGTGGTGTGTTACAATGATAGTAACTTTTGGTCAGTAGTAAAGAGCTTGAGACTTTGGTACCACCAGATGTTATCCGTAATGCCCAGAGCTCTGTATAGGAGGACCTGTATGCTGCTGGCATGCCATCAAATCACATTAGTGATTATCCCAGTCCCCTCTCCCTCTGGACGATAGATGTGCAATATCGTGAAATTTTAAAAACAAACTAATATGTTTACGATTAGAAAATATTATCCCAGTGGGAATGTTATATAAATTATCATTCAGCGCAGTCCCAGGAATATTCAGGCACTTAAGAATGCCGGCTTTTGAGCAAGCGTATATCCGACACCACGCCAAAAGTACATTCTGCAAACAGT